CCCCAAAACCCCAAAACCCCAAAACCCCAAAACCCCGGGATGGTATAAAAATATAGAACCCAGATTTTAGTAATTATGAATCAACCAGTGATAAGATTTTTGACAGAGATAGTCAATTTGAGCGAAATTGATAGCGGGATGAAGTAAGAGTGGAATTAGTGGTGTCTAATTGGTGTAGCTATTTGTATCCTGATAATGTATTCGCAAGTATGGCAGAAAATAGTTTAAAACAAGTAAGTTTTTCATGGAAACACTGATAGTTTTGTCAATCAATGTCTCCTCCGTTCAGTCAATTCATAACATTTATGAAAATTTGTTCTGTTTCATCGATTATCAAATCTTTTACCCATTTATTTCAAATAGTTGATGATCTTTCATCCAACTGTTAGGATTATAACTTCAGTGAAATTACTAATCATAATTATTTAAACCGTTTCAAAAAACAAACGTTCGATTTTAGGACTATTCTTATCTCTTCCTAAAAGATAAAAATCATCATTCCCAGGAGCAGTCGGTAAAGTATCAAGAGAGAGCCTCCCATCTTGAAGAATCTAAAGGAAGTCAAACTCTCTTCACAGAGACTCTTCCAATATCTAGAAGTGAAGACTATGAAAGCATTGAGAAGGTCTTCGAAGTCACTAAAATAGTTGAGAAAGCTAGAAGACTTCCAATGTTTCAAAGAAATTATGAAGTAATAGAGCAAAAGTCAACTACAGGATCCTTCTCTTCTATATACAGCTCCAGCAACAGAAAAGATATAGCTTATAAATCAGCTTTGAGACTGCTGAAAAGGTTCTACAGGAACACTTACAAGAGCAAGACTCTAGATATTAGCGAAAAAGCACATAGAACACTCTCAGTTGAACAAGTCTAGATGAGAATGGAAGCAGTTCTTGCCTCCTTCCTCCCTCTAGAATCTGTAACCCAAGCCTTGGTTTATTATACAGTTGGAATCACCGGTATCAAAAGAGTCTCTGATATCCCTTGCAGTTTGGTCATACTTAAAGAAATAAAGGCTTTCCAGAGCTGAGCAAATACATTCTCTCGCATGAAGTTCGAGAAGGCACTGAATTCAGAAAATTTGATAACATTATGTGTCCATATGACTCAGAAAGCAAATGACCCTAGGATAGACATATTGAAGGATGAAGTTCAGAGATTATAAGCTAGTCAGATCCTAGCAGAAAGAGCTTATTCTAAGTTCTTAATTCTAATTTTTGATAAAAATTTTAGCAAACTTTTTACGAGTCTTAATCAATTTGCAACCTGAGAGTTTCAGGCTAGGAGGGTCAATAATAGAAGGACTAGTGACTATACTATCAATAAATTTGAGTTTTAAATAAGCGCTCAGGAATTTTGACTCAATTCAAGATTACTCGGAATTAAGATTCGATGATTCCCACCGCGATTAAATTATTAATAATACTAATATTTCTGAAAAATTTTCAGAAGCAAGTTTACTTTAAATCAGGCGTATTTTGGTATCGAGCATTGAGATAATAATATTTATGAAGAAATTATAACGATAAATTATTATTTGAATGTCCAAACATATTTGCTCTCAAATACTATTAACAGACCTCACAAATTTTCCAAAAAACTTATCCCTACCCCAGAAGTGAGCTGAATTATCTCCCTATACTAAGTTTATAACCATCTCGTTATAAGAAACACCACTTCCATTGATCTTTACTAAAATTCATCCCAATTCCTTCCCTCTCCTTCTCCTTAATCACTATCCATCTCTCATACTCTATTTTCTATCATCCCTCCATCTTCCCATACCCCTCCCTCTCATCTCCTCCCTCTCATCTCCTTCCTCTCCCCATCCCTAATCCTACCCTCTCTGCCCTCTTAACTTCCTCTTCTCCTCTATCCTCTACTTACCCTTCCTCTTTCATAAACAGTGTCTTTTCCATTAAATAACTTTCCTTTAGATTTGCTCTGAAGTAGCAGGAATGGCAGACTCTGATTACGTAAGGGATATATTTTTTATTATTATTTACCAATGTTGTCTTAGCAAACATTTTTATTAGCAGACTGAATGGTTTTATAACTTTGTATTCTGACCCTAGTAGTTTTTATAAATAAAACTTGAGAGGATTAGATTCTCTATGCTATCTTTTCAGCTCTAAGACTACAAGGCTTCCTGCTTGTAAATCTAATTCCTTCATTTATATCTATGATATCAATAAAATCCTGGCTGAATTTCGAATTTTCTTTAGGGTGAACTTTGATTTACTTCCATTTCAGATTCCCAACCTCTTCAGATAAGCCAATTAATTTCTAAAATTTTCCTTTATTTAAGCGATCGTTCGCTATTAATATAAAATACCACTAATTACTAATTTCAATAGAAATCAAGACTTCATGAATTTTGATCAGAAATTTTACACCTAATTTTGCTTTCAGATTTGAATGTCAGATGGACCATCTTTAAAGCCACCGTAATCACTAATATTATTGAGCTAAAGAACTCTGTGTGCGTAAGAACTTTAATAATTTAGCCTGACATCACAAAATTTTAAGGAGAAATTTTGAGCATAAAATAGCTTTAACAGCTCTTTTATGGCAGAGCAATAATTAGAAATCAATTATTATTAATATAGCTAGGCTCTACGAAGCTCTAGAGCAATTTTATTGATATTTAACTTTAGTGATTCCTTTGCTTAATTATATGTTTCTACAAATTTGGTTTGTATTGTTAAGATAATACGAGAGATAACTAATTGTGTCAGAAATAGAGTAGGAAGGTAACTTATTGACCATATGCTCCCCTCCTCTTTATCTGAGAAAGTTAGGGCTAAGATTCATATTTTAAATAAAAGACGGTTTATATTATTCCATCCATATATTATTACCTGGGGTTTTGGGGTTTTGGGGTTTTGGGGTTTTGGGG